CGGGTCGTGTCGCTCTCGAGAAAACAGGTGGAAGAGGCAGGTAGGCAGGCCAGGGCTTGATAGACTACACGGTGGATCGCGAATGAACGGCATGTCATTCCTCGGCACGAGGGGCGAGGCGGAAACTGCTGAGGAATTTGGGTGCACAAGGTAGCTCGAAAAACGAGCGGCGCGCGTAAAAACCGGCGGCCATTCAGCTGGCTTCATTAGACAGGAATTAGCGTATCTTTTACGCACACACAACCTATCGCGCGTACTCCGTTCTTATCTTTGCATGCTCATCCGACAATCCCAGAAGATTAAACTCAGAAGATTGGACAAGCGGTTTCAAAATCGTCAGATATTCTTTTAATCATCATTATATAATGATTCCCTAAATCGGTATTTCTTTGACGAAAACGTCGCGGTATCGAGATCATTTCGAAACGAACGCTGCGCGGTTAAGAATAAAGGTGTTTTGACGAATTACTTATACCTTGGTGTGTGGAAAATAAATGACAACTTTTCCCTCTCGTCGCATTCTGCGTATAAAAAATACCTAAGATAAAATCATGAAGAAGCGTATATCTTTGTGAGATGTGTCATTATCGTCGATCCTTAATCTCTACTGCAGTTTAATCGATTTATTGACTCCTACTACTAATTACAACTCGAATTATAATATGGACAGTGATGGACATTTTAATTAACTGCTATTAGCGTCGCAGTTGACATTAATAGAGACGGTTCTATCTCTATCACTATCTCGTAGAGAAAACGGATGCGGCTGCTTCGGGAGATGAGAAAGTACGAGTGAGGAGGAGAGCGACGCGCCGGCCACAGGATCGGGCAAAGGTAAAGAGAGAACGCAAAGAAGAATTGTGAGAAAGGAGAGAAAATTGCAAAACGACATACCGTGCGACCGCACACGCCGGGAAGATAATTCCATGGTGTGCGGCTTAGAGCCGCGCGCAATTTGGCCTCACGCCAACGTTTAAAATGTGTTACAACACAAACACCCCGGCGGGAGTCGTTCAAAAAAGAAAAAAAAACAACACGAAACGCAAAATCCGCGCGGTTAATTCTAATTGCGTGATAAATAAAAATTGACGATACGTAGAATGAATAATAGTTATTTGTGTAACAAGTGCCGTAAGATGAAAATTCCCGGGTGCGGAGTTTACGCACGAGCCGAAGGCGAGTAACTGCACCCAGGAATTTTCATCTTTACGCACGGCTTACACACCCTATTTTATTTTGCATGTGCGTGGAAAGTGGTCTATCACGCACGCGTAGCGTGCGTAATGGGCCACTTTCCATGCACGTGTTGCATAATAACTAATTGTAAGAAAAGCGTTCAAGGGAGATTTCTTATCCAAATCTCAGGAACCTAAATTCTTGCTTACTACGATTCGCTAGCTCTCCTCTTCGTCGATTCCCGAGCTAAAGCTGTATTTACTTGAAATCTGCATTTATCTATTTTTATCGTAGATTTATATATCATATTATTACGTATCCTCGCCAAAACCGTTTGAAACTCCCCCGCGCAAAATGTTGCTCGTAATTGTCGGCTTTACGCGCGATTCTTGCTCCTTTCGCGCGTGCACGCGATCCTGCTTGCGAAGTGTGTTAATATGTGATTTACACGAGGAGATAGAATTATCGCCGCCGCCGTCGATACCGCCAGTCAAGAAAGAGACGAGGAAACGAGTCGTTGCGGTTAACGCGTGAATACGATGCCACACGTTGCCACTTTGCGGGGAAAATCTCTGAGGTTTGACGTTCCCCGCAGGATGGAGGCCCGGAGGAGGAGGAGGAGAAGGAGGTAAGAGAGGCCAGAACACGCGGATATTAAAGCTGAAACGCCCGCGTCTCATATTCCCGAAGCGGAGAGCTAAAAAGCTGACAATGAGTGCCCACAAATCGGATCGCGACACAGAACGGGATATACTGGTGTTTCCTCCTCCTTATCCTCGCAGGATATCGTCGCCACCCTGATCGACAAGCTTAGGACAAAGTATCGTGTTACCGTCCCACACACTTACGAGGGATCATCTTTATGCACGTATGAGGCTCAATTTGCGAATGCTACTCACGTATTTAAAAACTCGAAAATGCCAGATTTCCAGAGAGAGATAGATTTTGTCGTGTAACACTGCAAAGAAAAAGCCTCCAAAGTGAGAGATACTTTCAGCAATAAAATATCTTTATCACAAAATTCACTACAACTTTTACTTATATTTTACGTGCTTGTATTTTTTGTGTTTTATGTGTTTTATGGCTTGTACTATTTTATAATATTTTATGTAAACGATCCTCTTTTATGGTATTTAAAAAAATAAATTTTACTATCAAAGTGGACTTAACATTTTTATTCTAAAAATCTCTGTTAAAAACATTTAATGTATATGTTTAAAATATTATTTCAAACGCGTAAACACATTTAAATTATAATAACTTTAGAAAGAGGGCGAATGAAAACAGAGGCTCTCAAGAAAGAACAGATATCTGTTCCTCGAAAAGGGAGAAAAAGAAGCCTCAAATGTCCTCGGGAGTGCATTCCTGCCGTTGGTACGACACACCTGCCGCGGACCTGCAGATTGCGCGCCTGTTATCGCGATTAAACACGCGCGCGTCATTGTCGGCATTGGCATTGGCGCGCGCGAGCACGGGTATAAAAGCCAAATAAATTCCACGAATTTCACGCTTAAACTCCGGCGAGGCAAACTCGGCTTTCGCTATTTTCCAACTTTAACGTAGGCCCGCTGCTGCGCGAGCGGACCGTGTCCGCTCCGTGTAAACGACAAATCCGTAAACCCGTCTCCTTAATAATGCGACCTTGAATTCCGGAGCCTTCCCCACAAACCTTGGCGCTCATATTCTCTTCATCGGGGCTCGAACCGCTGACAATGCGCGCGTTCTTCCGACTTGGGATCGACGCAATAAAAATTGAACGAAACGTGAGATAGATAAAATATAAAAAAGTTTATTTCCGCTTCTCTCCAAATTGATTTCGCGATGCGCGTGCATGGCATCCTCGCGGAGTGCAGCGCGTTCCAAGATAAACGAATGGTCTGTTTGTCTAATAACGATAGTAATAATAACGGAGAGGGAGAGGCACCACGTGGTGGAGACACACGTCGCGTGTTTGTTCGATCAAGGGAAAAATAGGTCGTGTAAGTAACGTTCGGCGTGAATGCGAAACGACAGAAACGGCATGATGAACTCTTTACGGCGCGGGCCGCGGACGGTGACGTAAGGCACGGACTAATCTCGCTCGTTCGTGACCTCATTATTACGTCCTATATTTCCCCTTGCTTTATTTTGTCAATTGTATATGACTAGGAGCCACGCTATCTGGTGAATTTATCTTAGTTTCAAGATAGCTCGAAGTTCGTGGACTGCCGCGCGGCATGAATCGAGACTGTCTACTTTCTGCTGTTATCCTATATAACTTACATCGTTTTATTTCTGAAATCGATGTCAACGTAATTATCGTCAATGCGAAATAAGCTGTGGAAATTATATCGGCGCGCAAAGTGAGTATCGACCGTCTGATTTTTCGGAGCAGCTTGACGATTTAAAAATGCATCCCACCAGAAATAGGATGCCTTCAATTACTACGTTTTAAACTGGGCCATCGGTCTGAGTGTGCAAAAATCACGTACGAATACGATGGTAAAAAAACGCGGTAGCAATCACACCAATGTAATTTTGCCTCTGATTTGAACGAAATAAAGCTCAATCAGCATTGAGAAAACATCTGTTTCTGTACGTGTTTTCTAACTTTTAACTTTGTTACAGATATTGTATCTCGAATACAAGATAGTTGTTCTCAATCAGCGTACCGTGTAATAATAAAATCTTTCGTGTCACGTTCGTTTAAAAGCGTCCCATTCAAAAAGAGAATCCTGTTTATCTTAAGTAAGAAGAAAACTATCTCTCAAGATTTCGAATGGAATATAACAGAAGAAGCAGGATATAATTACAATAGCCAGTTAATTATTTCCAACGCTGCTCGAAAGCCCGACCGCGCCCAATTAAATCGATCACCGAGTATATAATATAATCCAAGCGCGCCAAGAGGCCAAGGTTCGCTCATTGTCAGTACCAGATATTGCTGGTAATCGACGCGAGTTATTTCCCGAATTTGGAGTCGGCCGAAAGCCGGAGCGCGGGGCCACGGTACGATTTCGGCGCGTAAACGCGCCGCGACCGTTGCGTCGCGTCGCCGCGCCGTGCCTCCTCTTCGTTCGAACGCTTCGAGGATTTGAAGGCGCTAACGGAGCGTCCATTAATAAATTTCTCAATAAGAATCGATCGACGCAAAAACCGGCTTCCCCGGTCCGCGACGTCCGCGATGTCCTGTGCGTGGAGAGCCTGAGAGCCGCGCTGATCAGCGAGACGCTGTCACGCCGCGCGCCGCCGCGTGTTCGCGCGCTAACGGAATATTCTCGTCATCTCTCGCCGTCTCGCGTCTCACGTTCGCGGGACGGCGGACGTTTGTGACGTTTCGGCCCGACGAATGCGCGGAATGCGGGAAGCGTGACAGATCTCGGCCGAATAAAGAAACAATAAGAGAGAGAGAGAGAAAAAAAAGGAACGCGCGGCAGGACCTAGACGGAGTTCGTGCTCGTGCATCTACGGTACAGAAGTCTGAGCTCACCGAAATTATACCGGTTTCGGTGTGCCGAGAGGAGAACTCGAGACGCGCTGAGAGAGACGGAGAGCGGAGCGAGGCGAGCGAGAGCGAGCGAGCGAGCGAGAGAAACGGAGAAAGAGATGGGAAGAGAGGCAGAGTGTGTGAGAGATTTTCGCGCGTCCGCGCGAGGCTCCGCGTCTATTCGCGGCAATTTGGCGAAAGGAATCGAAAACGTACGCTCTCTCGGGAAGGAGAGAGACGGCGGGCGGGCGGGTAGAAATGTCGAAAGAGAAAGAAAGAAAGAGAGGAGCGCAGCGAAAGGGCTCGCCTGTCGGAGTCCGTCCCTGGGTAAGCGAAACCGGGCGGGCAGCTAACTCACCTCGTGCCACATTCCGCTAGGCTGTACCGCCGATGTTCCCGACGACGGCCGCGAAGAAACGAAGAGGACGACCGCGCGAATCCTCCCGCCACGTGAATCCTCTCCTTCGTGTGAGAAGATAAAAAAAATCCTTCCTCGACTGACGACGGCGGCCGCCTTTCTTCCCGCGGGCCGCGACTCGCGCGACTGAAAAGGCACCTGCACCGTGCGGGCTATTCGCTGCACTCGCGCACGTCTCGCTTTTCAAATTTTCAAACCCACCACACACACGCGCACACGACGCACGAGGACGGGGAATGCGCGATGTGCGCGCGGGCACGCACGTGAGAGGCCGAGAAGGTGCTCGGTGAGCTCGGTGCTCGGTCTCGGTGTACCGCCGAGCCGACCAACCAACCGACTAACCAGTTAACCACGACTAACCAGCCAGCCAGCCAGCCAACGGGGCTGCCCGCATACCGACCGCACACACGCGCAGGCTCGGCAACGGGTTTCTCACGGGGCGAAACGTCAACCGACGACCGACACTCGGCAGACTCGGCTCTCTCGCGAGGAGCGGCAGCCGGCAGCTGCTCCCTCAGCTCCCTGAATCCCGTAACCGGCGTCACGTCGCGCTGCACGCTGCACGTTCACGCGCCGACTGAACCGAACCGGCCGAGCGACCAGGACGTACTGACTCGCTCGGTCGCCCCGGCCCCGTTTCACGATGGCGGGGACCGACCGTACCCCGTTACACTTACACCCCGTACCGAAGAAACCGCGAGCTGAAGCTGAGGTCGGCCGCGAAATTCCTAAATACCCAAGGCAGAGTACTCGTAATCTTATAAGAAAATTAAGCGCAAAAAAATCAAATTATTTATAAAATCTAGCTTTTCTTCGTCAACGATCTCACTCTGGCGGCAGGGTCAGCAGGGTGCTGGATAGCGCTTCGTCAACGAGTATGAATCAACCGTAACTTTATTTCGTAATATAATCGCTTTTTTTTACAGCAGAATGTCTTGTTTCTCAGTGAAGTATAATGAATACACGTAAACGATAATATAATGCGCATGGATATTTATCGTAATCGTACATCAATCAAAAATATTAAAATTATATATATATGTATATATATAACTGCTTTTCTCTTCGATAAAGATAATTTACAACATACATCTTCTTTTTTTTCTTTTTATCCTTATGTCTTAGACTGCCTTAGAGCTAACTGACGATTAGGTGTTTTTTCTTTCGAGTTCACATGTCTCACATGTGGGCGTTCGATCTTTTATCACGCACAATCCTCTATATAAACAAGTTGTATGCCGTATGTTTCTCAATTATCACGCTACAAATGTCTAACGTTGTATTACAAGACATATAACGCTTAATTATAGTAGGTTTTATTCTACGATCAAATTAAACCAACAAAGATACAGTGCACATCGGTATGCAAGTTAAAGAAAGCCGTTGTTATTATTTTTACGCTCTCGGTATTCTATAAAAACTTACATGGAAACCGTATTGTAGAACGGATCGTCAAACCGTGCTCTTCGAATATAACGCGGATCTCGACAATATTCCGACGTATATCTCATTTACGTATAGTAACGTATATATATATAAAATAATTACGAAATCCGTGCACCAAAAAAGCGTTACATTCATTCCCAACGGATTTCAATCGAGTTCGTTTGTTCCTTTACTGAGAACACACAAATAACGCATCTCGCTATAGGATTACAAGTATCAGGATATCTGAAAGCAAAAGGGACGATTGACTGTACTGCGAATACACTCTCGATCGATCCGACCAAGCCGAGAAAGCGATTTCGTTAAATATAGCGGCAATCTATATTTTCCATGCAGGTTCCGCGTTCATGCTCCTAAGAAACGTCATAAAGATATTACGCGGTAATAAACTATCGTAAACTACTCGTAATCAGCCCGACACGTTCGTAAAGAAATTTACATGGGAAAGTGACATCAACGGAGCTACAGTCGATTTTCTGTGTTTCGACAAACGACAGAAAATTGATTGTAGGTATATAGAGCACATCGAAGAGGATACACGGACGAAGAACCAAGAACAGAGATTCGAAAGAGTGAAACAACCGATCGCGAAACGAGTAGTAATGGCCATACCATTGACATTTCTCTATCTATCGTCTAAAACACAGATAAATCTGAATCTAAATAAGAAAAACTGCAACGTGAACGAATGAGTAGCGTGTATTCCGTCAAGACTGAGATAAAGGGGGTAGAAGGTAGAAGAGGGAGAGAGGGAGGGAGGAAGGATATAAGTTTATAATTTTTGACAGCCAGTTACCTCAAGTATCTCTCACGTACATCAACGTAAAAGGTAAATAAGGATAAAATTAAAGGTAATATTGGAATAACAGTATTGCAGATTGGTGGTTAGCTCATAGACACTTGTCCATTGGAGAGTAGTCTCTCAACGGCAGCATTTATGTCTCCGAACGTGGCGATTAACGCTGAAAAATAAAAAAAGAATATTATTAAAAGGGTATTTTAGGCATTCGTTATTAATGTGAAATATTACAAAAATATATTATTACCGTATGTTCAAAATTACTAAATATTATTAAAACATCATTTAATTTTTAACATCAAAACATAGCACCGTTTGTGTAATCAAACGATATTGTATTGAAAATATATTATATTGATGAAAGAATCCGTTTAATTCTTTTTTCTAACTCTTGCATTAATTAAGAAAACGAATCAGACAGGAAGTGAAAACTGCGTTGTCAGGATGACTCTAACCTTGTAAATTAGCATCTCTATTAAGAAAACCCATAGCCGTAAGTTGCTCTAACTGTGCTCTGTAACGTTCCTCTGGTGGAGGTACAGGTTGACCGTCAACTTCTACACCTTGATTTAATGCCATTGCAGAAACCTAATACACATAAATGGAACATGATATGATACTTATATAAGGAATCTGAATGTTATATAATCAACTAGACATGAAAAATGGTTCTTATTATATCGAAATGCTAGTAGTACATTACAAGACACATTTTTTTTTAATTCTCATTATTAAAGACTGTAAGACTGTATTGTTTCGAAAGAGCATTAGCATATTTAAATGAACTGAATCAATTTAAGATGTTATTTCTAAATCGTTATTTTTCTTGAAGAAAATCAAATTGTAATATAACTTTGGAAATTAAACCATTGTTCTTACCATCCGTGCCATAAATTGAGAAAACGCGTCTTGCTGGTTGCTATCCGATGGCTGGCTGGTCGGTACGCTGGAATTCGTGCCGCCCGTGTTTGGTGTTGTGGGTGCGGGTGGGACCGTGAGGCCCATGCTGAAACACACGCGCACATATAGTCCGCACTTATAGTCACGCGCTAATAAAATATCAATCTAAGACTAGCGGTAAAGTGAGAATGAAAAAATTTACTTTTCCACGAGTTCGGGGGCGACGGTGCGCAACTGCTCCATACCACGTTGTATCTGCATGATAGCAGCCAGAGCGTCCGGGTTGGTGACGACGCTCTGCATCTGCGGATTTTGCATCTGTTGAATGAAGGCGGGCATCATTGCACGCATTTGTTCTTGCATCTGCGGATTACCACGAAGAAACGGATTCGCTGCGATCACCCGGCTGGCCATCCCCGGATCAGCCGCCATCGCCTCTAGCATAGATCTCGTGTACGGAGCGTTCAACATGTTTCGCATTAACTGTGGATTCTCCATCATCTGTGCCGTGAGGCTCTGCATACCCGGCGAATCCAGCAGACCTCTGCCTTGCTGACCTCCCTGTTGACCTCCTCCTCCTCCCGTCCCACTGTCGGTCTGGCTCTGATTCCACGGATTCGGCAACGGATCTCGATTTTCCTGACCCTGCTGTGGATTCTGCAAGTCCTGATTGGACGTGTTCTCCACCAGAGCGGCAAAGGGATTACGACCGATCGTCGCCGCCGCTAGCATTGGCTCCTGGATATCGCGATACATGCGACGTAGGGCGCTGTAGCCACCAGGTATACTTTCAAGATTAGACAGAGCTCGATCGTGCGAGCGCATCAATTCCTGGAGCATCGACGGGTTACGTGCCAACTCCATCGTTTGCCTGGGAATGAATTTTCTTGAATAATATTGTGCAATATTGCACAACAAGTAAATATCTAGTTTCTAAACCGAATTTTAAAATATCGACTGCCACTCGACAACTAACTTGAAAATACAAATAAAGAACATATTTAAAAGTTAAGAAATAGCACTAGAAAAATGTCAACTGTAACTGATCTAATAAGGAAGTAGGAAAAGAAATTCGATTTGAGATTAATCCTTCGTTCGAAATACAATCTTTAATAATGCGTAAATCACGTGCTCGAGGAGATAAAAAAGGAGACATAGTTCGACTATTGTATTCAAATTAAGTGGATTTTGATTGTAGTTTAAGGCGTACGGCTACTTACCGTAAAAGCTCGGGGTTATTCAACATATGACTGATTTCCGGGTTACGTTGCATCAGTTCTTGCATTTGGGGATTGGCGGTGACCAGATTGCGCATGTTTTCTGGATCGTTCATCAAGCTCTGCACCAGCGGATTATCGAGCACTTGACGCATCGTTTCCGGATTCGAGAGCAATTCCCGTTGCATACGTTGCTGTAAGTCTATGAAATTAGCAGAACCTAAGCCAAGGGACTCCAATCCCATCAGTCCACCTAAACTCCCCAAGCCAAATGGACTGGCACTGACATCAGCTGTAATTTATGCACACGTGCCAATATTAACATTCATGATATCACACTATATACCTGCCTCTATAATATAAACACGTGCTTACAAATTTAAAACTTAAATATTCTTAAAAGCTCTCATTAAATAATCCTTGGTTGTGCTCATCATTTAAACATAATTCTAAACATAAAAGATCATCTAATTTATTACATTAAAAATTTGTAAAACTATAATTTAAATTTATATATACACAAATTATTTTTACACATTTCTAAGAAACTTTTTTAGATATACCGTAGGCTTGGCGCGTCATCTGTGGATCACGAAATACTTTGTTTTTGGTTCTATTGGTTATCTGTATCCACCGGCATATTAACCGGAACATTCCAAGAACACAGAATGTTCTATGACTCGCAGATAACATGTCAAACGTATCGAGGTTCAATTCCATTGTTATATTTGATTAAATTGAAGCAAAGCCTGGTGGAATACCTTGTGGTCTCGAGGCCGAATTGGACTCCTGATTCTGTGTGGCGGCGGTGCGCGGGGCCTTGATCACCAGGTGCACCGCCAGACCGTCCTTGATGTTGTGCGTTTTGAGGGTCTCGTGATCCTTCATGATTTTGCCGGCGAAGATGAGGCACAGCTGATCGGCCTGTGCGTTGAACTTCTTGGAGACCGCCTCCTTAAACTGCCGGCACACGGCACACGTTCGCCGCGGGGAAGAAAGGGGGAGAAAAAGAAACAAACAAAGATTAGAGATGCCGAACTAACCCAATCGGTTTGACAGCTGATGCCTGGCGGGGCGCCAAGAGAGCGGCGCGAGCCCCGCGAGCCCCGCGAACGGCACGCGAGGGGAACGTGGCTCCCTGACGACATCGTCGTCGCACACTTACTTCCTTTATCGTCGCATTCTCCTCGATCTCCACGCTCTGCTTGTCCTTGGGGGTTTTTACGTTGACGGTGATCTTCTTCGGGCCACCCTCCTGCTGGCCTTCTGCCATCTTGGATCGGTAGATGACTCGTTACTTTCGACGCTCGCGCGATACTCGGTACGCTCGCTCGCTCGCTCGCTCTCTCGCTCGCTCTATCCCTCCCGCTTCGCCGCCTCTCTCTCGCTCGATCTCACGGCCACCACGGAATTGCGCACCGTGTAAATACACACCCACGGCACGGCACGGCACGGCACGACCCGCACGACGGCGACGACGCCGACGACACTCCCTCGCGCACGCGGCCCGAACGTCCACCGCGCCCGATGCGACGGCGAGGAACTACGTTGGATTTTTTTTCCCACCTACAACTCCGGTGGCCCCGCGGAACTAGAGAGACTTCGCGGCCGGACGGTGACCAACATGCACGATGCCCAACGTACGGCGCTCGGCCATCACGATAAACACGCGGTGTCGGATAGTCGGAGTCGGATAGTCGCGCGAACCGCGCGAGAGATACGTGGATTCCGTCGGCGTTTTTGCACGCGAGGCCGATTTTGCGGCGCGATCGCGAGCCGGAGAAGGGCCACGTAAACCACCACCACCACCACTACCACGACAACGATGACGACGACGTCGACGACGGGTTAACGGCGAGAGCGGCTAGGTTATGTCACGCTGCTGCCACCACCGAAACGCAAAAGCACCGCCGCGACAATCGCGACATGCGCGCACCTCTATGAAGTTGGCCGGACAACTTCAACGTATCGAACTTTCATTAATTGGAATCGATTG